TGAAGAAAAGGATAGTCTCAATCCCTTCAACAAGCACCCTTGAGATGAAAACAGAACATTATACATGGCCTGAAAGACAAGACATATAAAATTGAAAGCTGAAGAGAAAATCCCATTAGAAATGTTGAAGAAACGTAGTTCAAAATTACGTTCAGCTCAGCTAGAACTGGCAATGGCAAGTAACCCAGATTGCTAGAGTGCAAGAATCATTTAGAAGAATAGCTGAAAATAAACCCAGAAGGGTAGGCGGAAATCAGATCATACAAGACCTCGAATACCATTTGAGCAGGATTTGAGCAGAAATATTGATTCCAATAGTGCTTTAGTAAGAGTAATCTAGTACTATATACCAAGTAGACCTGACACAGCAGCTAGTCATTGATCTTGTGAGTTCCGCAAAAGCAATGACTAATTCATTTCTGTATCCTTCAAACTAACATAAGTGCTTGGGCTAGAGTATAACTGAGATAGAAATCACTAGGTGAGCCAAAGAGAAGTAACACGAGCCTTAAGTACAATGGGAAATAGAAAAATGCATATAGGGAGCCGTCCTGATGGCTCAATCGGTTAAAGCACAGCACTATGAAGTATCCGCAGCCACTGCAACATGAGTTTGATCCCTGGCCAGGGAGGTGACCTACATGATGAAGCAGATCTCTCCCCTCAGCAGTGTATACCACTGCTCCCCTCGGCAGTGTACTTCATCAATCTGCCTGTTCTGCTCCCCGCTCTGTCTCTGGTGTGTCCTCTCACCCCCCTCCCACCTCTCTGGCCTGTACCTTAGTTATGTATGCATAAATGAATAAATCTTTATTTTAAAAATGCATATTAGAAAAAATATTGCAGAAATAGAAACAAGGATATCTACTGGCTGAGGAAATATTGTAAGGATAGGGTAGAAACAATAGACTATAAAACTGATAAGTATCACATGCACTCACTACAGGTTCTGTGAAAACAAATGCAGTATGTTCATAAAAATGTGCTTTTTTTTTTTAAGCCTGGTTTTCCCTAGAATAAGAGCTTGTTATCTTAGACAAATACACTGCTATATTTAACCTTGGAGGGTTCCACATTTTAAAATACTTATCTCCCTTTGACCTTCACTAGATTATAAAACTGTAAGACTACACAATGTGTCTACTCTGCTATAAAGCACAATAAAACTCTATTAAGTGTTGCTTTAATTAACACTGCATTCAAAAAAGAAACTATTATTGAACCTATTTCAGCTACACAACAACAAAATACACACACACACAGATATAAACAAAATTAAAGTACCATGAGTGTTAGTTTGCTGAAGTGAAATAATTCACTTAGGAAACTCACAGGGCTTATCAAGTTTCCAGTAGCCTTTATGTTTCCCTCTCCCCAGGCTCAGTGCTCAGCCCCTTGTGATTAATTTTACGCTACAGAAGATAACAGCCATGATAAGGGTTGTTAAGAAGATGGGGGAAGTGGGAAGAATCAAGAAACATGGATCAGTGGCTGCCAGTAAATGTTTTAAAACCACCAATTTTGCCAGTTTTCATTTGATTTAGAAACTTCTCTCATAACCTATATAAAGCTAATAAGATAACAAAAATACCCCAAAATTTAACAACTGGCTCTCAGAAACCAAAAGTAAATTCCAACACACAGTGGATAAAATATTTACCTGCATGGCATACATGATCCCAGTATTTTACTATGCAATACTACTATTCATGTCCCCAAAGAAAAGGACAAAGGACAAGGGAAAATTCACTCCGTTTCTATATGGCCTTTACCTCAATCCACAAAGTAGTCTTCCTTTGGACTGGGTTTATGATATAGTCCAGAAATTCCTCTTGCCTAGGCCTATGACATCCAAACTTTTTTGACTACACACTTCAACCAGTAAAACTTGTTTAAAAAAAATTCAAACACACATCTCTCTCTCTTTCTCTCCATACACACACACATACACATACGTTTATAAATTATACTATACTAGAACTTCTATAAATTACAAAGCATACACTAAAAAAATGCAATTTTTAAAGATAAAATTTAAATTAATACAAATAGAAAAAATTCTCTTCATATCCCAAAGAACTCTTATATACCCCCTCCTCCAGTGTTTACCCAATCTTGTTTAGAAAATATTAAAACCAATATTAAAGGTAAAATGAGTACCTTCTAGACCTGTTTTTCCCTAGTCCTATAACCTAATTTAGTAAGATCTTTCCTCTGAGTCTGAAAAAAAAAGCAAACACTAAAGCATAGAAAATAGAGGAGAGAAGAGTTATCAGCCAGGTCTTAAGAAAATCTGGCTGGGCCCTCCCTGGTGGCGCGGCGGGTTAAAGCACTGCACTGAGAAGCTAAAGCCACTTCTGCATGAGTTCTACTCCCGCCTGCCCAGGAGGTGACCACATGGCGTGGCAGATCTCTCCTGACCCGCCCGCTGCTCCCCTCAGCAGTGTACTTCATCGATCTGCCTGTTCTGCTCCCCACTCTGTCTCTGGTGAAGCCTCTCACCACCCCTGAGCCTCTGGCCTGTACCCCACTTCTGTATGTACAAATAATTAAATCCTTAAAAAAAAAAAAAAAAAAAAAAAAAAAATCTGGCTGAATAAGAAATAGGTCAAAGATCCCTCTGAAAATACAGACTCTACTGAATAATACTCCACGATTAGAGAAGCTTCAGGAAACCATGCTAACTGTTAAATCAACATACCCCAGAACTTTGCCCCAATAAATGTCCTTGAACCTAAATATCTGAATCTGCATAGGCAAACAGAAAGACTGAGAGGAACCTTAAATTTCCCCTCAAAAATCATACATTTCCTCTAAGATATTATTAAGTAAGTCTTGAATTGGGAAGTACAGAGTCTAAAACTATACCAGATACTTACAAGTATGGAAAAGATACAGTCTTCTTTTCTATATGCATACAATCCTCTGGCAGATCACAATTTAAACATGCTGCTCCCTAATTAAAAATACTACTAGTCAAGACAAGTTATATAAAATTGATCTTTCTTAAGCATATATAAATTAATTAGAGACTTCACAAGGCAGTAGCCAATCAAAACCACTATAGTGTATTATATCACACGATCTTTGAATTATCTTAATATGCTGCTCAGCTCTCCAGACTTTTTTCTCCCTGGCTTCCATACTAACCACCACAATTTATCAAGAACAAAAAGTAAAAACCCTAATCAGGCTGGCAGGACACTGAAAACTTCCTAATGAGGGTTACAAATAAGTTTAAAACATCATAAGGATGCTCAGTAATTTCTGAAAAAGCAGTCCAGTAATAGTCTTACTGCTTTACTGCCTGTCATATACAGAAAGCAGTAAGATGAGGCTACCCTCATCCTTGAAAACAGAAAACAAGAAATTTCCTGAGCTACCAACTCATCAACATTTAACATGACAGAATCACTCTTTTTAAAAATATTCTTTTTATCCTTTGATTCTTTACCACACAGTTGCCACACAAAGTCCTAGGATTGAAAGTTTTGACTATAATGATAACCATTAACATACTCCACACCAACAAACTTCTCCCACCCCCACCACAGAATTTTCCCCATTTTTTTTTAACTTTAAGGAAGTAAGGACCCTTCTCTAGAATAACTAAGTGCCTTAATAAAAATGTTTATCTAATGTATTATTGTTTGTCACATTAATAAGGCTTCCTAAACACACACTAACTCCTTTCTCTCCAAGTTCTCACTGAATCAAGAGAAAAAACAATTTAAAAGTAAATAAAAACCATAATCACATTAGAAGACAAAACTCTAATTAGCAATTTAGTTTTTAAAACTCCAGATCCAAGGTTCTCAAACTTTATCCTACATCAAAATCACCTACAAAGCTGTTAAAACATATCTTGAGGGGATCCACCACCAGGATTTCTGATCTACTATGTCTGAGGTTGGAGTCCAAGATTCTGTAAATCTAATAGCTTCCCAAATGATATAAGAATCAAAACTTAAGTAGAGGTCATTAAGAGAAACATTTTTTATTAATTCCAATTAGAGTAGAGAGTTAAAAGAATAGCATAAGCAGTTTTTTATTTTTGTTTTTGTTTTTTTTTAAGAGGATAACAATTGGAAAAATAACAACTCTGGAAATCTGGGATAATTTTCCAAATTAAAAAAAAAACTAAATAATAACTAAAACCCAACTAAGCAGTGTAAACACAGAGCAAAAGACAAAGAGCTGGAGACTGTAAGAGAAAAATGAGTAAGTACAAAGAGTCAATATGAGTCAATATCTACCTAATATATTTCTAGAGAAAGAACAAATACATCACTAAAAGAAATCAATGAAGAAATTTTCCCTAAGCTAAAAAAGACTCAAACATTAATATTGGTAGGCCAATTTCCAAGCAGAAAAAAAAAATTGTAAAGCAAGAACTAGACTCCTATTTGTGACACTTACAACCTTAAAAGAAACAAACAATATCCTAAAGCGTGGGTGGGGGAGAATAAAACATAGGTTAATACAAAGAAATGTACCAGACTAGCATCAGACATTTCAATAGCTTGCTAGACAAAAATGGAACACTGTTTTCAAGTTACAAAGAGGAAATTATTTTAAACCTAAAATTCAACATCTAGTCAAACTTTCAAAAAACAAAGCAAAATAAAGACATCTTTGGAAATTCAAGAACTAAGAAAATTTACTTCCTGTGTATATTAGTTTCCTACTTGTATAAAAAAAATTGTCACAAAAGTTCAGAATGGGTTGCAGGTATTGGGAGGATTATTCTCAGGAAGAATCCACTTCCTTGCTTTTTTTAGCTTCTAGAGGTTGCCTGAATTCCTTGAACTGTGGTCTTTTCTCATTTTTATTAAATGTAACCAGTACTTAGGCAGCATTTTGAATTCCAAAAAGAGATGCAATTGACTAAAGGTACAAGTGCAGCTTCGGACACAGAAAATGAAAATTATCAGTATGCTCTTTATCATGACCTTAAAAAACATTTGAATAAATTAGCATTTCTATTTATAAATACCTACCGAATCATTCACTGATAATGCAAGAGCAAGGTTCACTGCAAAAAAAAACAGAAAAGTAGTTAAATGTAGTGACTTTCCTAAAAAGTTAACTCATTTTGCTTTTTAATATTTTCAAAGTAATACAAAAAGAACAAAATTTTTAAAATAATGTAATAGTTTATTTTTACATCATTTTGTGCCTTTTTCCATCTCAGTTGTAATCCCTGCGGGCTTCCCATCACCAAATCACCCATGTGCCATCACCATAGTCCAGTGCACTTCCCTCCCCACATTGTTTTTTGATACCATTCCTCACTCCATCCCCATAAAATGTCTCTAGTATATAGTTGAAGAACAGAAATTTTTAATATAGCTCTCTTACTTGATTAAAACAAGAACATGGAGATGTAGAAAGTAAAAAAGACAAAAAAGAAAGCAATATTCCAACATAGTAGATACCTGCCCCAAAATTAACATTTCAAATAGCCCATTTATAATATGTTTCAATTTCATTTAAATAAACAAACTTTTGAAAACAATGTTAAGGCATAAATATTTCAATTATTTTCAAAAACATACTCTGCAGAAAAATAACTACTTCTAAAAATTAAAATTAATAGGATCCTATTGCTTTTTAAAGATAAAATATTGGCTAAAATGTTGGTGCAGTTGTTTTCTTTATAATAGTTAAGAATGTAAACTTCAAGACTGACCTCATTCAATTCCTGACCTACCACTTTCTATTATGTAACTTTCAGTAGGAAATTTTACCTCATGCTTGTTTTCCTCTATAAAATGAGGGTAATTTCTATTTCATAATTATATTAAGGATTAAATTAAGTACCTTATGTAAGTACTTAGCCTCAGTATGGCACTTTGGTAAATTAATTTTAACAAAACAGAAAATAATTCTGAATTTCAAAAACATCACAGGATAAACATAATCCAGCTTTTAAGCACAAACTTTAGAGAATGATGCATTTTAATGTTTCTACATTTATACAACATAATTACAGAGCAAATGTCATCATTCCAATCCAAAATATCTCTAGCATACATATTTAAGCAGGAATTATTTTGAGTTAGCTTGGGAGAGGAATAAATACATATAAGGAAAAGGTTTAAAGCCAAAAGTTATAGAGAGATGCAGAACAAAACTATAAGATACCACCTCATACCTGTGAGAATCACAAATACTAAAAAGACCCCCAACAACTGGTGCTGGAGAGGATGTGGAAAAAAGGAAACCCTGTTCCAATGTTGGTAGGAATGTGAACAGGTGAAACCATATGGAAAGTAGTCTGGATTTCTTAAAAAATAAAAAATGGAGGGTCCTCCCTAGTGGCACGAGTTAAAGCGCAGCACTATGAACCTGGCCACAGCCACTCAGCAGAGTTCATTCCCTGGCCAGAGAGGTGACCCACATGATGCAGCAGACCTCTCCTGTCCCACTAGCTGCTCCCCTCAGCAGTGTACTTGGTAAGTCTGCCTATTCTGCTCCCCACTCTGTTTCTGGTAAATCCTCTCACTGCCCCTGCACTCTGTCATGCACCCCAGTTCTGTACGTGCCCCCTCTTAGGCAGATTTCCACAGAAAATGAAATTATAAACAAAAAAACTCCATATGTTTTTACAATATTCATAGCATTATTTACAGCAGCTATGGCATGGAAGCAGCCTATGTCTCCTTCAGTAAACAAATGGATCAAGAAGATATAGTTTATACATATGCCAGGGACTATTATATAGCCATAAGAAAGGATGAAATGCAGCAATCAACAAAATGGAGAGATTACAAGCAGCAAAATAAGTCAGAAGGATAAAAACAAAAGTTGGACATTCATGAAGCAAAAAAATTTGACACTTTCCAAAACCAGTGGAATCAGTAAATATCCTGAGTGCTCTGAGCTTAAGGGGGAGGGAAGAGGGAAAGGGACAAGCAGACACTTTCACAGCGGTAGGGAAACTAAAAACAAGTCCATCAGTCTAAAACTGTCAAAACTAACTAAATGAACATAATAAGGGTCATTTTCAAATAACTGCAAAATAAATAGAGAAGACCTGAATTAGCAGTCATTCCTTTTGAAATGATTGATAACTAAATATGAGGCAACAATAAAACATGAGTACTTTATGACTCCAAATTAATAATACAAATCACCTCTTTTGAGTAGGATTGAAAGGAAGTTATCCTTTTACATTTCTTCTCTGGGCTTTTGTTTTTATTTTTGTTTTTAAGACAAACGGTTTCTTTTGAAAATTTTTGGGGAAATCTGATCATTAACTGAGTGCTGAATGATAACTTTTATTTCTGGTTGCCCTTCTTTTGTCGGTTGTAAAAGCAACATTTCCATCACAATGATATCTACAACCAATTTTAAAACTTAAATAGTTAACAGACCTTTTCAAGCATTTTCTAACATTAGATCTACAGTAAATACATAAATGTTAAAATTCATATCATGGTTAAGTTTTTTAAAGTGCACAAAAATGTAAACAATCTCATTCATTATAACGGTGCAGCTATGTGTACAGTGATAAAAGACTGGGGGTAAAAAATGAAAACTAGAAATAACTGAGAAGTCAAGCTACTAAGTATTTAAAAAATAATATCAATCAAATATTGAGTATTTACTATGTAGGAGATGCTGCAGTAAGTAGATAGCTTGTTTAATTTGTATGCCTATATCATCATTGCCATTTTTACAGTTAAATTAGTATCTGGTGGGAAACCTGACCACCTTTTCCTCAGCTAAGGAATGAAAAACCTACTAATGCACCTAGTTTTGTCTAACTCCAAAAATCTAAGCTCTCAATCACTGCCAATGAATCATATAGCTATTAGGAACTTCACAAATACTAACTTTTTAGTTCAATACCGTGCACTTGTCAGTTAAATTAAAGTTCATAATAAAGATGAGAATTAACATTCTGTGGTACCTGCTGTAGTAGATTTTCCAACTCCACCCTTTCCAGAAGCCACAACTATGACTTGCTTAACACCGTCTATTGGTTTCTGCTTTGGAAGTCCTCGGGACATGATTTGTGTTCTTCTTTGTTTTAGGGTCTCATTTTCAGAATCAGTTAACTTTAAAAAAATAATAATAAAAAACAAGTCATCTCCATTATCATGCTGTAGAAATAAAAACAATTTGGAGTTTGTGATTGAGGACTTTCAAGTATAGCTTTGTTCATCTCCACTAGTTAGGCCTTTAATGCTATGTATCTATTAATTACAATTCTAGACACTTTTTGTTTAACTTGGAATTTATCTACCAGGATATGCTGACGTTAAAAAATAAAAAAGCTGCCTCCTTAGGAAATTAAATCCTGTGTTTGTCTCCTTTATAGCCTACACGCTACTTAAACCACCATAAAGAAAGCAATGTGAAAATCACATATACATATTCTAACTATAAATTTCATGTCCTGCCACTCCTCGCCTGGGCCTATTGGGAGGTCGCCTAAAATTGGTTCGCCAAGCCAAGGCGAGCCCGCGCGGGGTTGAGGTGAGTCTTTACTAAGAAGCAATGACAGCACCTCGGGATCCAAAGCCCCAATATCTACGTCCCGCCCGCCTCCCTCTGCCCTGCAGCACCACCGACCTGGCGCCGACAAACCGACACTCTGCTTCCCCCACAGAGGAGGAAGGCCCCGTTACCACCCCGAAGAGACACCCCTCCAAAATGCAACACACGACGCCAAGACCCCATGGTACAGAACGCAAACCCGCGCTCAGTCCGGAAACAGTCGACCGGCGCGTGCTGATGACGTCATGTGGCAACGCTCGGCTTCCTCTCCTTAGCGACAAGGCTGAGTTTCTTCAGCAGGGTAAACTTGTCTGGTCTCCTTTGCAGCCAAGGACAGGCATTTTGCAGCGTTTTACTACTTAGTGTTGAACTTTACTGCTTCTGTTCCCTGAAAGGTACTTTGCTAGGTAGGCTCAGAAAAGTTTAGCTAAACCAAAAAGTTAGTCTAATGTAGCAAGTTCCACTCAAGAAGGAATTTAAATGAGACAGAACTTGAGAGAGGAGGTACAATTTATGTTATTGAAAAGACTGTGTTGTACTTAAAGCCAAAGCAGCTAAGAGTGGAAAGGAGAGACCACTGGTCTGATACAGAAATCCAGATCCAGCAACTGGATTATTTATTGTGTCAGATCAATTGCCTTAACATAGTCTTTGTAGTATCTTCTTATATTAATTTTAATTTTTGATTAGTTTCTTATCTCTATGATTTGTATGATCATTTCATTTAATTGTTGAAAGTTCATATTTAATTTACTCATCTTTAATCTAAAGCATATCAACCTCGAAGATATATTTTAAGAATAAAATGGGATATCACCAGCAAAGTACATGTAATTTACTAAGCTTTGAAAAAAAAGTGCAGTTCATTGTATTTCCTTCCATGGGAATTTCACTCAGTTTTTTTTTTTCTTATATTGCAATAGGTTTGATACTTTCATTGTTTTGTTACTTTCATTCTTATTTGAGATGTTTTCTCAGCTAATTCTACCAATTTTTAACTTTTTGCCTGTTTGATCTTTATCATTGCAAGTTAAAACAGAGGAATAAGAGAAATAGCTGTTAGAATAATCCATTTGCCAAAGAAACATTGATTATCTCTCTCTCCAGGAGCTTTGTGGGTTCTTCCAGATTTCTATTAAAGAGTCATTCATTTAACAAATATTTTTTGAGCAAGTGCTATATACCAAATACTAAAGGGTATTCAACATTGAAGAAGATATTAATGTCTCCAGTCAAGGATTTTACAGTCTATTAAAAGAGACAGAAGAACTTAAAAAACACTTACAATATAGTGTGATAAATACAGGAGAAAAGCACTGAGTGATACAGAAGTAGTAAAAAGGAGGCACTCAATTATAATCAAGGAAGTCTTCTGGATAGAGTGATATCTAAACTGCATCCTGAATGTGAGTAATATATGGAAGTCAGCTGGGAATAAGACTGTGGGGTTGGTATGCACAAGTAAGAAATGAACTGTTAAAAACTGCAAATAACTTGTATGGCATGAGGATAGAAAGTGTGGTGCATACTGAAAGAGATGAGGATCCAGTTGGTAAAGAGAAAGGTTGTTCCAAAAAAAGTTTTCTATGTCAGTTAAAGGAATTTGACCATTATCCTGAGGGAGCCAAAGTAGGATTTTTAAACAGGAAAGTAACATGATCAGATTTATGTTTTAGAAACACCATTATGATGGCCAAGTAAAAGTGGGATGGGAAGGGCAACAACAGAAACACCTTGAATCTCTAATTTTTTTTTAACTATAAAATAGATGATGCTATTTTTCACAGCATTGTTGTAACATTGAATTTAAAATAATGTATGTAGGGCCCTCCCTGGTGGCGCAGCGGGTTAAAGCACAGCACTGAGAATCTAAAGCCGCTTCCTCATGAGTTCGATTCCCGCCTGCCCCGGAGGTGA